TAATAAAAGTCATGATACTATTTGGATATCAGTAATCTTCAAGAGTCTCTGGAGTTTATTAGAGACTTTTCTTAACTGTTCTTTTTTTAAAGCTCAAGTCATTGATGAAGCACCTTTATTCTGACATATTCTTTTTTAAGTCAAGGAAAAACTTATTGCACAAATCTTAAAAGCATAAATTATGAACACATTTGTATAATTAACAATTAGTATATAAAACATTTCCATCGCCTCCAGAAGTTCCCTTAACTTTTTCCAGTGAATCTCACCTCTTATAGACACCCATTATTCAAATTTCAATCACCAGAGATTAATTTTGTTAATTTTGAACTTCATATAAATGGAATCATACAGTATTTATTTTTTGAAATTTATCCTGGTTTGTATCATTAGTCCATTTTTTATTTTTTATTTTTTTTTTAAAGGAAGGCTTTGCCTTTTTTTTTTTTTTTAAGATTTTTATTTATTTATTTGACAGAGATTACAAGTAGGCAGAAAGAGAGAGGGAGGGAGGGGGAAGCAGGCTCACTGCTGAGCAGAGAGCCCGATGAGGGGCTCGATCCCAGGACCCTGAGATCATGACCTGAGCTGTAGGCAGAGGTTTTAACCCACTGAGCCACCCAGGCACCCCATCATTAGTCCATTTTTTAATTGTTGCATGGTATTCCACTGTATGACTATACCATTTCTATTTCTGATGTTAAATTGGACTGTTTCTAATATTGTGCCATCATAAGTAATAAGTAATACTATTATGACTACTCCACATCTGGTGGGCATAAGAACCAATTTTTCCGAGTTATACATCTGTGGGTGGACATGCTGCATCATAGCGGAGATTAAGTTTTACTTTAGTGAATGTTAACCAGTAGTTTTCAGATGAGTTGTAATGATTTATACTTCTACCAGCAATGCCTGGACTTCCAACTGGGGTCCAGTTGTTCCACATCCTCAATAATGCTTAGTATTTTCAGTCCTTTTAATTTTAGCTATTATGGTGAGGATGTAGAGGTACCTCATTGTGCTTTAATATGCAATTCTTTGATAACCAATGATAATGAGAGTACTTGTATGTGTTTATCACTCATTTGTGTATTTCCTTTTATGTGGTATCTGATCAAATTAGACTAAATTTTTAAAAATTTTACTTATTTTTTATTAAAAAATTTGTAAGATTTGTAGGATTTCCTTATATAATCTGTGAACAAGCTCTTGGACAGATATTTGTAGTACAAATATTTTTTTCTCACTCTATGGCTTGCCTTAATGGTATTTTTGGAAGAGAAAAAGATTTAAAATTCGCTCTTGTCCACTTTATCAATTTTTTTTTTCTTTTTTAGGCAGTACTTTTTGTGTCTTCTCTAAGAAATATTTGGCTACTCCCAAGGTTAGAGATATTCTCCTAAGTTTTCCTCTAGAACCTTTAGAGTCAGATTTTATATAAGGCTGCAGTCAAACTTGAATTAATATTTGTATAAGGGACAAGATTCCTTTTCTCCCATATATTTAGTAAGTATCATTTCTTTGCTATTTACAAACTTTCCTTTCTCCATTTAACTGTTTCGTTGTTTTTGTAGAAAATCAAACAACCATATAAGTATGGGATCACTATTCTGTTTTATTGATCTATTTGCCTGTTTACATGTTAATAACACACTACTTTGATGACTCTAGCTTTCTACTAAGTCATGTGATAAGGAGGTATAAATATTCCAATTTTCTCAGTCTTTTTCAAAATTGTTTTGGCCATTTTTAGATTCCTACATTTCCATGTTGATTTTAGGGTCGGCTTTCTTTCAACTGCTACAAAGAAGTCTGTTACAATTTTTTTTTTATTTTGAATTTTTTATTAACATATAATGTATTATTAGCCCCAGGGGTACAGCTCTGTGAATTGCCAGGTTTACATACTTCACAGCATTCACCATAGCACAGACCCTCTGTTATGATTTTTTGTAAAAATTATCCTAAGTATATTAATCAATTTTGGAAGAATTGACATCTTAACATGTTAATCCATTAATGTGGTATACCTTCCAATCTACATAGATAGGTCTTTAAAAATCTTCTTTCAACAATCTCCTGTGGTTCTCAGTGTTTAGATTTTATATGTATTTAATTAAATATATTCCCAAGTATATCTTATTTTTATGATATTATAAATCATATTGTATTGAAAATTTTATTTCCAAGTTGTGTGATGTCAGCATACAGAACTACAATTGATCCTACAAATTTGTTAAAATTACTTATCAGTTCCAGTAGCATTTTAGAGATTCCTTAAAATTTTCTTTGTAGAAGCTTATGTTTCTGCAAATAAAGACAGTTCTTTTTATTTCTATCCAATCTATACTTAATTTTCTTCTATGTATTTTAATGGCTAGAACTTCAAATGCCATGTTGAAAGGATTGGTAAGAGAAGATATCTTGAACTTAGTATGAACGTGTTCAATATTTCACTAGGAAATATTATGAAAGCTATAGACACTTTTTACCATGTTGAAAGAGGTCCTTTATTTCTAGTTTGCAGAAAGTTTTTGTAATTAGTGTCTTTTGAATTTTGTCAAATGCCTTTTTTGCATCTATTGATATGACAGTAGGACTCTCTTTTCTTTTCTACAGTAAATTACTTTAAATGATTTTTTAATATTAAATCAACTCAAGTTATAATATGTACTCTTTTGTTATATCGCTGGATTGGATTTGCTAACATTTAAAGGAATTTTCCACCTAGGTTCATGACAGATATGGGTGTGTAATTTTCTTTACTTGCAAAATCTTTGTCAGGTTCTGTCAGGGTTATACTGATAATTTCCCCTCTTTCTCTGTGTTAAAACTGGAATTATTTCTTTCTGGAAAGCTTGAGAGAACTTACCATCTCTCAACTGAATTGAGAACTGAAAGAGAAAAATTGAAACCATCTAAGTCTGAATTTTTCTTCATAGAAAGAGTTTAAATTACAAGTTCAGTGTTTAAAAATAGATACATGGATATACAAATTATAATTTTTGTGTGTGTTTGTTTTGGTAATTTATATCTTTCAAAGAATTTGACAATTTTTTCTAAGTTGTCAAATGTATTGGCATAAATTGTGGATAATATTCCTTACGCTTTGCTATATGTAGGGTCTATAATGATAACATCTCTTTTACTTATAACTTATTTTTTTTTACTCTTTTTTAATTTGCTGATAATTTTATTATTTTTTCAAAGTACCAACCATTTTCTTTGTTAATTTTTGCTATTGTCTTTTTTCTATTTAATTGATTTCTGCTTTTATATTTGTTACTTCCTTTGACCAACTTTATATTTGTTACTTCCTTTGATCAAGTAGGTTTAATTTTCCTAATTCTAGCTTATTTAGGCGGAAGCACAGATGACTGATATATACTTTTTTTTCTAATGTAAGCATTAAAATAAATAAAGCTTCCTCTAAGCATTGCTTTAGCTGCATCTGACAAAATTTCAATTGTGTTTTCATGATCATTTATTTTTTTTTTATTTTTTTTTTTTTAAGATTTTTTATTTATTTATTTGACAGAGAGAGATCACAAGTAGAGAGGCAGGCAGAGAGAGAGAGAGAGAGAGGGAAGCAGGCTCCCTGCTAAGCAGAGAGCCCGATGCGGGACCCGATCCCAGGACCCTGAGATCATGACCTGAGCTGAAGGCAGCGGCTTAACCCACTGAGCCACCCAGGCGCCCTGTTTTCATGATCATTTAAAATAATATTTTTAAACCCGAGCAAAGTCATTTATGTCTCTTCATACTTCCGTTTTTTTCGTATCTAATATGAGAAAGTCATTCTTAAAGATCTCTAAGTTCTCTTTAGATTTACTATTTTCTGGTTAATATTTGGTTGAGTGCATGAAATTATAATTTTTATTTGGCCATGGCACACAGTTGCCCTGTAGAACTGGATAGGTTTTAACATTTGTGTTTTTTTTTTTTTTTTAGCGCAAAATGTATTAAAATATATTTAAACTATTTCTAGTATGAAAATACTTAAATTTGGAAGATGCTACTCAGTAAGTTTCTCTAGGACTATGCAATGCTATTTTAAAGTGAAACCATATATCATAATCATTGACAGTGGGAGACAGAAAGCAGAGTCCTCCAAATATAGTAATATATTCAGTCTTCATGTCTTCAGAATAGGTACAATGTCAGTTGGCTATTCCTTATTGTATTTTTTATAATTAAATTATAGCCATAAGAATAGTGCTTTCTTGAGTTCTTTGAGTTACTATAACAAATTGTCAAACCTGAGGAGGGTCATGGGTACCCCTGAATTTATAACCAGTGGTCAGAAAGGCTGGTGTCCTAGGGCCCTACCTGAGGTTGGCATCTTGAAGTGAAGCCATTCTAATGGAAGACTGAGTCTTTAACTTTGGGAACTGCTGCTAACTCTGGGTGGTTAGCATCATAATTGTATTGTGGTACCTTAGGTGGGAGTGGAAAAAAACAGGGACACTATTTTTTTTAAAAAGTATCCTTGAGGTAGAGACCACGTCCATTCCCCATGTCTAGCCTTGCTTTTTTCATATAACAATCTAGTTTTAACTTAGGCACATGTCAACCCAACAAAAAACTGCATTTCTCAGCCTCCCTTGCAACTGTGCATATATGACTAAATTTTAACCAACAAGATGTATACAGCAGTGCTATACATCCTCCCCTTTCCCATTTTATGATGAAAGATATTTGCTATCCCTACTCTAATATTTTATCTTTTAACAGCAGACAATGAGGCTAATTTGTTTCTTTCCTTCCTAAGAGTAGCATCAGAGATCCAAGACTTGCCTATCTTTAGAACATATATTATACTACATAGGATTATGAATTATATTTATCTGAAAGATTAATAAATTCTGCTTGAGGCCCCAAGAATGTGTTGTGGCCAGTTGATAATAGTCACAAGTCCTGGATTCTGCATTTACAAAGGTGCATGTCAATACGCCTAGACACTATTTCCATATTTGCACATATTGTCATAGAAGCACCTGTAGGAAAAACTCCTCCATCAGGGCCATGGTCCAGCGGTGGTGCAGCTGCCAGGATTTGGCTGGGTGGCTAATGTCTGCTGCATGGAGAATCAGGGACATAGTTTTGGCTTTGTCAATCCTGTCAAACCAAGGACATATTCAAATTATCAGAATGAAGTCACCAATTACAGTCCTTTCTGAGTCCAAGCCTATGGAACTTTAACATGATGGAAGAAAATAACCTACCCTTCAGGCTGCTGCAAACTGTTTCTTATATTTTTAATTTGCTGGAAGTGACCTGACATGTCTGTAGACAAAACCATTTCAATCACTAGGTTCCGAAGATCCCTGTGGAGTCATCAAAAGAAGAAAGGTTCATTTGGCCCTTGATGATTCTCAAGTAAAACATTTCCTTAATATTACTGATTAAATTTTATTTTTCTTTATGGATATAAGCACAAAAGATGCTACTTTTTAAACGTAAAAGAGCTCACAAACGTTGACATTATTTCACCCTTTAACTCTCGCAGCTTTTGGAAGTTGCCGGGAGAGTGCTCTGTGAATGATGCTGTTTAACATCTCCCCTTCAAGAACTGGATGTTCCTCCATGCACAACCACGACTGTCTACTACTCATAATTCCTAATTACTGTTTTTCTATCTGAAAGGAACCTGACCAACTTAAAAAAATAATTTTAAATGCAGTATTTGCTATTATTAAAAGCACCACTATGTATTCATGATTTATTCAGTCCAAGCAGTGTGGTAGGTTCTTTTATATGAGGAGGTATTATTATTTCACACCAGAGGACACTGAGTTTTGCCCAGTCACACAGGTAACTGGTAGATGGCAGAGATAAGATTCAACCCAAGAGTTCCCACTCCCACAGCTGACACAAGGACCACTTCACTGTGCCAAACTTCTATCATAAGAACCCCAGAGAAAACAAGATGCCAAAGTAGGTGGGGATTCTCCATTTCAGCTTTTGGAACCCTGACTCTACAATATATTGTAGAGAGAGCTATTGGTACTATTGAAATATTAATCAAATTTTAATCTGAGCTATTCAGTGATGTGCATGAATATTTGCACACTAAGCAGGAAATTAATTACCTCAGCAAAGGCTTGCATGTTCTATAAGTCATCGCTTGCTCAGTACAGATAGAGAAGAAGGTCACTTACACTAGAAATCATATTTTATTTTCATTCTCTGGCATGGCCAATAGAATAAGCTAAGTAAAATGTGTGTGGTAAAGTTGAATTATAATCTTGTGTCAAAGATATTTAACCTAAAGTTTGTGTGATTGAATAATTTGTTTTTTAAAACAACCACATATTAAAGGAGCTTGCTGAAATTCAACTGGATTTTTAGATGGGCACTGTGAGAAATCCATATTTTAATTACTGTTGATGATATTAGATAGCTTGCTTAGAACACTTTTACCCAAATATTAAAGGAATAGAAACTAAAAATAGTTAATAAAATTGTGTCTTTTTAAAAGATTTCATTTATTTACTTGAGAGAGAAGAGAGAGCACGCATGCAAGAGAGCATGAGCAGGGTGAGGGGCAGAGGGAGAAACAGACTTCCCACTGAGCAGGGAACCTGATGTGGGTCTCCACCTATTCCAGAACTCCAGGAACATGACCAGAGTGGCAGCAGACACAGCCAACTGAGCCACCCAGGCACCCCTAAGTTATTCTTAATTACATTTTTTTCTCTGAAATTATGAAGAGACCTATATTACAATAGCAACTGAACCAAAATATTCATTTTAACTAAGGAAAAATGAGACAGAAGTTTTATGAAATCTATAAAATTTAGTATATTGTACTTTGCATATAAGATGCTAGATATTATCAATAATCAACTAATAATGTATTAATAAGCTAGGCAAAATAGTGCATAAGGGAAATTACTTATTTATGAATCTTCCTTACCAAAATTTTTAAATTATTGCATTTATGGTTACTAAGTTACTTTAAGAAATAAATAGGTATGCAAACAGAAAGCCTACAAATCTCTAAAAATCTATTCATATTTTAATTTATGGTAACTTGTCATCAACTTTCTGCTAGCAAATGTATCTTTTGTAGCTTTTTAGAAACAATGTTGGATCTATTAAATTCTACAATCCATATGATACTATAGCATTTGTTAAAACATTTCTATAAAAACATTCAATTAGGATGATTCTGAGAAGTTACTGTACAGAAATTTATAAAATATTAAAGGAATAAATTATTAGAATAATAAAGATGTTAAAGAACAAAATATAGTAAAAAAAACACACCAAAATAGCAACAGAATCAACTTTGAGAAGGAAAAAGTTTAATTCAAAGGAATAACCATAAAAATTAATAATATTAAGTGATATCTCTGGGAATAATGATCACTGACAAAAAATTAAATACTCTAAATGTAAATAATCATCTCTTGGACCACAGGAAATACCTCCAAACTTATCTCTCTACGTCTACCTTTGCTCTTCTATTCTCCACATAACCCAGCAGCGGTAGCTTTAAAATCCTTTTATAATTAGATGCTGGCCTTCTTAGCTGGAAACCCAACTGGGCTCTTGTTTCTTTCTTTTTTTTTTTAAATTTAATTTAATTTAATTTTTTCAGTGTTCCAGAATTCATTGTTTATGTACCATGCCCAGTGCTCCATGTAATACGTGCCCTCCTTAATACCCATCACCAGGCCCACCCAATCCCCCAAGCCCCTTCCCTCCAAAACCCTCAGTTATTGGACTCTGGGCTATTGTTTCTGGCAGAATAAAATGAAAGGCCTGAACCAGTTTCCCAAAACAAAGTGCCTCCCACCACCCACATTAGATCTGCTTCTATAGTTGCAAAAGTGAGCCCGTATTTTTAACCCACTGAGCCACTCAGGTGACCCTGTGAGCCTGTATTTTTTATACAGCTTCAAAATGTCCTTGAAAAGCCAGAAAGCTTGAGTATTTGGAAGAGTACCTATCAGAAATTTGGGCTTGTTTTAAATCCTGAATTAACCTTTATTCATTTATTCACTCATTTATTTTGAGGCAGTTCTTTTTTTTTTTTTTTTTTTTTTTTTAAGATTGTATTTATTTATTTGAGACAGAGAGAGAGAGAGAGAGAACACAAGTAGGCAGAGCAGCAGAGGGAGAGGGAGAAGCCCAGGCTCTCCACTGAGCAGGGAGCCTGATGGGGGCTCGATCCCAGGAGCCTGGGATGATGATCTGAGCCAAAGGCAGCCGCTTAACCGACTGAGCCACCCAGGCGCCCCATATTTTGAGGCAGTTCTTGATCCCAAGGCACTTTATTTTTTTAACCTTTATTTATTTATTTATTTATTTTCCTTGTGTTATATTAGTCACCATTTTACCCCTCTGATATTTAAATAGGAAGCTTTTTGGCCCATTAACTTTCAACAAAATCTTTGTTAAAGCCTTTGTTAAAGGCTTTTTTTTTTTTTTTTAACGTATAAATAGGTCTCATTGACTAGTAGGGATATGCAGACATATTTGCACTAAAAATTTCTATGTTAATCAGAAATTCATACTTAATTGGACATCCCTTATTTTTATTTGTTAAATCTGGCAGCCCTATAGTCAAATGAAAAGGCTGACGATGACCAAAAGATCAAGAAGTAGGGAAAATTATGCTGAGTTGTAGGGGTACATCGTGTTATTTCCCACTGTGTGGCAACAAGTATCACCCATCCATGATTTTTTTTTTTTTTAAGCTGATGGATGCTTTGGAGAAACAGATAAGATTTCCCTCTGCATCTGGGTCATTTTAGCATATTGTATTTGTAATTTTTTCTTCAAACAGTGACTTTTTAATTTTTTTAAAAAGCTAAACTCCAGGATGCCTGGGTGGCTGAGTGCGTTAAAACCTCTGCCTTCGGCTCAGGTCATGATCCCAGGGTCCTGGGATCCAGCCCCACATTGGGCTCTCTGCTTAGCAGGGAGCCTGCTACCTCCTCTTTCTGCCTGCCTCTCTGCCTGCTTGTGATCTCTGACTGTCAAATAAATAAATAAAATCTTAAAAAAAATAAAATATAAAGTAAACTCCACATATAGAAAAGTAATATATGAAGAAATTCATATTACACTAAGATTTTGAATTTATTTAGGACCACATATTGGTATAATTAAGTGGAGCTCCATTACAGAGAGTACATCATTATGTGTCCTAAACTATGTGTTGTGGGGTACGCAGTGTTGTGGACTGGCCATGATGTATACAGATGTGGAATTAGCCTGGAAAATAGCTCAACTCCAACCAGCAGAGCCTGGCTCCTGAACAACATCTTGTAGGTTCTAGTCCTTCTCACAGTCATTCAGTCAAGGGGAACTTTTATAATATGAATTTCTTCATTTTAAATTACATAATTTAAGTTTTTCCTAAAATTAAATTTCATCTGGGCTTCCTTTGAAACTCACCTCCAGTCATCTTTGGACAAATTTATCAAAACATTCATTTCTTCTTCTTGCATAAGTCGATAAGCTGCACTCACATGGTGATTCTCAAGGACAGAGCGATCATTATACAAAAGGGCAACATCTGACCTAAGAATTAAAAACAAAATGTCCAGTAGAGGATTTATTTTAGATTGCATAAGCATTTGCTAAATATACTCAAGTCACAAGATATCTCATCAATAAGAATTCTATAATCAAACACCTAAATGTATGGAAGTACTTAGTTTCTTTTTTTTTTCTTTTAACCATGCGATAGCTTTAAAAAAATAGACTTTGTTTTTTTTTTTTTTTAGAGCAGTTGTAGGTTCACAGCAAAATTGAGCGGAAGGTACAGAGCTTTGCCATACACCCCCTCACCCCAGATATGTAAAACCACCTCCTCGTTATCAATATCCCACACCAGAGTGTTACATTGGTTATAATTTATAGGTCTACATTGAACGTCATTGTCACCCCAAATCCACAGTTTACACTAGGATTCACTCTTGGTGTTGTACACCCTGGGTCTTTGGACAAATGTACGATGACATGCATCCGCCATTATGACATTACTCTGAGTAGTTTCACTGCCATAGAAATCCTCTGTGCTCAGTCTGTTCATCCGTCCCATGTCCATAACCCCTGGTAACCACCGATCTTTTTATTTTTCTCCATAGTTTTGGCTGCTGAAGAATATCATATATTTAAAATCATATAGCATGTAACCCTTTCAGACTGGCTTCTTATACTTAGTAATATGCATGTAAGATTCTTCCAGGTCTTTTCATGGCTTGATAGCTCAGCTCTTTTGAACACCAAGTAATAGTCCATTGTCTAGATCTATCACAAGTTAACCTTTCACCTACCTAAGGATTTCTCAATTGCTTCCAACTTTTGGCCATTATGAATAAAGCTGCTACAAATATCCATGTTCAGGTTTTTGTATAGACATAATTTTTCAGCTCCTTTCAGTAAATACTAAGGAGTGTGATTGCTGGACTGTATGGTAAGAATATGTTTCATTTTCTGACAAACTGCCAGAAATGGCTTCCTAAATGGCTGTACCATTTTGCTTTCCCACTACAGTGCATGAGAAGTCCAGTGGCCACATATCCTCACCAATAGCTGGTGTCGTCAGTGTTCCAGATTTTAGCCATTATAATAGAGGTGTAGTGATATCTCATTGTTTTAATTTGCATTTCCCTTATGACATATAATGTGGAACACCTTTTCATATGCTAATTTTCCATCTGTATCTCTTCTTTGGTGAGATGTCTGTTGAAGCACAGTTTTAAGTTGGGCCATTTATTATTGTAGAGTTTAGAGTTTTTTGTATATTTTGCACAACATCCCTTATCAGATATATCTTTTGCAAATATTTCCCCCCACCTTGTGGATGGTCTAATTACCTTGATATTGTCTTTTACAGAGCATAAGTTTCTAACTTTAATGAAGTCCAGCTTACCAATTAGTTTTTGTGAATTTTGATTTAGTGTTGTATCTAAAAAGGCATTGTCCCATTCAAGATCATCTAGGTTTTTTTCTTATGTTGACTTCTAAGAATTTCATAGTTTTGCATTTTTACATTAGGTCTATCCATTTTGAGTTAGTTTTTGTGAGGAGAATAAAGACTGTGTCTAGATTTATTTTTTTGCATGTTCATTAGTTTCAGATCCATTTGCTGAAGAGACTAGACTGTGTTTGGCCTATTGCATTGCCTTTGGTCCTTCATCAAAGATCAGGTAAAAGGTAAAACTACCTTTATGTGTGTCTATTTCTTGGATCTTTCTTCTGTTCCATTGATCTATTTGTTTATTCTTTTACCAATACCACACCATCTTGACTACTGTAGCTTTATTGCGAGTCTTGAGGTTAGATAGTATCCATTCTCCAACTCTGTTCTTCTCTTTCAGTAATGTGTTGGCTATTCTGGGTCTTTTGCCTTTCCATATAAACTTTAAATTTGCTTGTCAACATCCACAAACTATTTTGCTGGAGTTTCATTGGGATTGCTTTGAATCTATAGACCAAGTTGAGAAGAACTGACATCTTGACAATATTGAGTCTTCCTACCATGAACATGGAATATCCCTCCATTGATTTAGTTCTTTGAATCTGTCATCAGATTTTTGTAGTTTTCCTGATATACATCTTATACATATTTGTTAGATTTATACCTGAATATTTTAATTTTTTATGCTATTGTAAGTGATACTGTGATTTTAATTTAAAATTCCACTTGTTCATTACTGGTATGTAGGAAAGTGGCCAAATTTTGCATGCTAACCTTATATTCTTCAAACTTGCTATAATTGTTTATTAGTTCTAGGAGCTTTTGGGTCAATTCCTTTGAATTTTCTATATAGACTATAATGTAACTTGTGAACAAAGACAGTTTTATGCTTTCTTTCCCAATCTTTATGCTTTCTGTCTCCTGTCCTTGCCTTATTGCATTAACTAGGACTTCCACTATGACCACAGTTTAAAAAAGGTAGTGAAAGAAATATCCTTGCCTTGTTTCTGTACTTACTGGGAAAGCTTCAAGTTTCTCACTGTTAAGTGTGAGGTTAGTCATCAGGTTTTTTGGTAGATCTCCTTTATCAAGTTGAGAAAGGTCTCTTTTATTCCTAGTTTGCTGAGAATTTTTATCATGAATGGTGTTGGATTTTGTCAAATGCCTTTTCTCCATTTTGATATAATTTCATGTTTTTCTTCTTTAGCATGTTGATATGATGATTTCCTTAATTCACCAGTTTGGTCATAGTTTCCTTTTAATTATCTTAGTTTCCTTTTAATTATCATAGTTTGAATATACTTGTCTTTTCCTTACAATTTGTAATCCAGACACCTGTAAAATAATCTGATATGCCAACCAGAGGGAAAAAAATTACCTGGTATGCTCATTCAATCATTGAATGAATCAAACCCTCTACTGATGAATCAACCCATTCCAGATAGTTGATTACCAACTATTTTCTATGCCCTTAGACTAAAATTACTTTGGATGGAGGGTAGAGGGAATGATGAAAATCATTTGATCTATTATGATTTTAGTTTTTTCTCCCTCATAATGTTGTGATTAAACTTGAATATTTAGATCCTGCGGCATTAAATTAACTGAGAAAACCTTAAAAAAAAAAAAAAAACAAACCAAAATGTGAAATGTGTGTTTTACCACCAATTTATAACAAACATTATATTTTAGAGTGATGAATTCATCAAGGAAATTTTTTTGCTTTTCACCTGTCCATATTTTCACATCATTTAAGCAAACAAACTACTTCAAGCAGCATTGCTGAACTTAGTGGTCTAGCATAAAGTATGAAATATTGCAAGCATTCTCAGATCTGTATAATGGAGCCCTGGCTTCTTCCTCTGTCCTCTTAGATTGCCAGATCATTTTGCAAGTGTGGAATGGAAGCGGGACCACTATGTTTAATGTATTAAAATGGCACATCCACCCATATACGTTGCCAAATTGGAGGCAGCAAAAATAGCAAAAGGGAAGTCAAGTTAAGACCTGTGCAACTCAGTTTCCACTTGCTGCAATGCCCAGACTCTTCGTTTTTCATTCCTTGTGGTAGACCTATAGTTCGTCAGCACTAAAACTGCCTCATTAAGACTTACTGTTTTAGGCTTCTCAGTCAGTAGTACTGGTTACAGAACCGACATTACCACTGAATGTTTACCAAAGAATAGGGAAGGATAAATAAAAGAAAGAACTAAAGAAACCTGGTTTTGGTTGCAAGGAACCTATTTGAGATCTGTATCTAATGATCTACTAAATAAACCAAGCTTTATTATTAATCCAACATAGGGAAAATGACCTATGAGGCAGAACAATTACTTCATCTTTTGTTTCTAGAACTATCATAAAAATAGAAAAACATATGTAGTTAGCTAATGGTACATAATTCCACAATAGATTTTCTTTTAATCCCAATGATGGCCTAAAAATTCTCTAACCAATAATCATAACTCAATATATGGAAAAGTACACCTGCAAACCTTGTTCAAGAGAGGACTGAATATATCTTGCCCAAGTATCTCCAGAAGTTCACACAGATCATGGGAAAAACTGACATGTAAATCACATGTCATTTGTATCATATGGCCTCAAATCTAGCCACGGCAGTGTAACTACATGACATGGCTCCAAGTATCACTGTCCTTTACTTTCAGCAGCAAGCAAAGCTATATCTTTGAACCGGATTTAATTGTAGCAAATTACTATGATTTTGTCTCATAAATCCAATAAGATTCTGATAATACAGCACCATTTTAATGTTTGAGATGGTCTTTGACTGCTAAGAAAAGAACAAAACTCTAAGCAACATTCAGTATCCATGGTAACATGTAGCTCGGTATTTTTACGAAAAAGAAATTATCTCCATTTATTTACACTTTCAAGGATTTCATGAATTATAATGTCTGTATTGAACTCAAATCTAGCATTGCACTATGTTCTAAATTATTTTTATTTTGCATTATCCAGTATATAGTTCTCCATATTAGAAAAGCATTCTAAATCCAAGAAACAATGAATGATATAAAATACAATAGAATTATTGATACTTGTAACATAAGATCTTATTTTTTTTGGACAAAATGGAAAGGCGATAGAGTTTTAAAAGCACATTATATTGTTGTGTTTATGGTCACCACAACATGTTCATTTATAGAATTCTCAAATTCTTGCATGATTAATCCTTTAAATTGATCCTGGTAGGCAATTTATAAGAAAATATATAAAATGCCAGACACTTTCTCCCCTTTATTTACAGAGTTTCTTAATGTAAAATTGGGGGAAAAAATGAATTCTTCTTTCTCCCTCTCCTCTTTCTTTACTCTACCTTCTCCTCTTCCACCTCTTCCCTTTTTCTCCATTTCCTTCACCTTTTCTGCAGTCCCAAGCATAAGTAAGTTAGGACTCTTTGTCAGTTGTAAATGGATGGTAAGGAGAAAGCTGGAAGTGATGGCCCGACACTACTGCTGGAGAAGGCTAGCCCTTGGCCTTCACTTTACAGAGTAGAAAAAACAAGAAGTGTTCATGGATAACCAATCCCTTGCTCCCTTCTCCAACTGCTAAAACTGTGGGGCTCAGCTCAGTAATGAGCTGTGCTTAACTAAAATCTCACTCATTATGGATTCAGTGGATGTAGAAGGGTCTTTGACAACCAAAAATGATGTGCATGGTCTACCTTCACTTTGATGTTTGACACAAAAATGGAAGAGCTGCCTCTACTCTACAAATGTGTAGGTAATTAACATCCTCTTCCACATGAACAGACCTCCAGGTCTGCCTTTACATTTCATGGTCTGTCAATCTCAAAAGCTCTGGGAATAGACAGAATGCCTTCCTCAGTATTTCACTGCTGGAATTTCAAGCCTTCCTCTGTCTCCATCAAGGGGCCACGCCATCTAAGTCCATCCCATTTCAGGCTATAGAAGACTGGAACTTTCATGCACCTGCCTTGGTCTTGGGGTCAGAGTTGTATGAGTAGACTGGATTGAGACTGTCCCTCTTCTCAGCTTCTCAATTCTGCCACTGCCATCATCATGTGAAGACAGAGAGGTCATTTCATCTCTTGTTTTCTCTTCTTAGACTGTGAGGCCTTGACTAAATGATCCATAATGTGGCTCTCTGTCATTTTAGTCACTGAAAGCTCTAAAAATCTCTAATCTTTTGATAAAATATTCCTATGATCTCCACATTAAAAAAATAATTTCCTATAGCTGCAAAATCGGTTGTTAGAAATATTGCTATTAAAAAGCAAATGAACAGACCACACAAAAATCTGCACATGAATGTTGATAGCCCTTTATTCATAACCTTTATCCGAAAATTTGGAAGTAACCAAGATATCCTTTATAGGCAAATAAGGAAACAAACTCTGTCACATGCATATGGAATATTGTTCACCAATGAAACTGAAAGAGCTATCAAGCCATGAAGAGACATTGAGGAACATTAAATGCATATTATTAAGTGAAAGAAACCAGTCTGAGAAGGCTTTATATCACATGATTTCAACTATAAGACATTTTGGAAAAGGCAAAACCACAAAATATTATCAAGACCAGTGGTTGTCAGGTGTAAAGGCAGAGAGAGGGAGGAAGGGAGGGAGGGAGGAAGGAAGGGAGGAATAGATGATGCACCGGAGGTTTTAGGTTAGTGAAACTATTGTGTATGATACCATAATGGTGGATATATGGCATTATACATTTGTAAAATCCATACAATGTGTAACACAAAAACTAAACTCTAATATGTATTATGGGCTTTAGTTAATAATAATGTATCAGTAGTGGTTCATTATAACAAATGCACCATACTGATGCAAGATGTTAACAATAGGGGAAACTGTGGGGGTGGGGAAAGAGAGTGTATGGGAATTATGTACTTTCTGTTCAGTTTTTCTATAAATCTAAAACCACTCTAAGAAATAAAATCTATTAATTAAAAAAAGAAAAAATATTAATTTTCCCTTAATAAGACTGGAAGGATCTACAGTAATTCTAGAGCAGTATCAGTTTCTCAACTTCTATCTCCATCTCAAGCAACTCTGACTAGTGAAAGACTTAGAGAAATGTCAGGGACCTACGTATAGAAAGTTGGATCATGATGGGTCCTAGACACATTTTGCCTCTCAGGCATTGAGATCTCTGCAACCAAAAAGAACACAGAGCACCTTTCTGTTATGAAATGAATTATGTCTCCCTAAAATTCATATGTTGAAGTCCCCTTGTACCTTAGAATGTGACTGTATTTGGAGAAAAGGCTTTTAAAGAGGTAATTAAAGTTAAATAAGGTTATAAGGGTGTGCCTTAATCCAATATGGCTGATATTCTTATAAGAAGAAGAAGAGATACCAGGAATGTATACCCACATAGGAAAGGTCATGTGAAGACAGTGAGAAGGTGGCCATCTAAGCCAAGTAGGGAGGTTCTGCAGAAACCAAACCTGCTGACATTTCCTGGACTTCTAGACCTCAGAACTCTGAGAAAAATTCCATTATTTAAACCACCCAATCTGTGATTTTGTGATAATAGCCCTAGCAGACAGATATATCTCCACTCTGGAATTTTGATTCTAATAACTGTCATTATTAGCACCATTAAAAACCTCATTTTCTAATTATTTTAAATTTAACACTTCACACTAATCTGGAAATAAGGTTTCTTTGATTTTCTTCAAAAGCACAATTTTATTACTTTCACATACATAATGATACTAAACTAATGCCTTAAATAACATGTTGCAAGATTCATGTCAGTCAGATGTCTGAATTGTGTGATACTTCAAAGTATAAATTCTGGGCAGAGAGAAATTATGACACATTTTTACATGCTTTAAATTGTTAAATATGTCAGTAAATATTTATACAGTTTTTTTTGATAAATAATTGAGAAAGTGTTTATAACTTAAGGAATTTTGCTAAAATCCATTAAAACTACTTACTAGACGTCTTCACTGTTTTTTAAAAATTTTATTAAAAATAAGAGATATGTAGAAAAATAAACTTCAAGTTTTAAGTTAGAAAAGTTAATATTTTATGTAGCTTACCTTGTCTGAATATGAAAGTTGTTTGTGGTTCCTGTATGCTCGTAGTCATGAATGGCAGCAGCAAAGACCATTGCTAAAATTTCCAGTTCAGTGAGCCAGTGCTGGTAAATTAAGGAAAGATACTATCATATTTACAAAGCAGAGGCCATGCTGTATTTCTACAAAAGAGATTTTCAGTGCAGCCAGTATAAGTAATCATATAAATACATTAAATTATTTTTGTTGATTTCAAATACATTTTTCCTTCCTTTCTCATATTCGTTGATTATGCATAATGGATGATTCATGAGGTCAATGATTGTTTCATGGCTTGTAGGTTCAAAATACAGATATTATAATGTTCCTAGCCAATCAGAAAAGGAGTAATTTTCCATTATTTAAAAGGTAAACCCTGTGTGGATTTTTGAATTCACAGATTTATGAATCTGGGCCCTCATGAAATCGGTTACAGTTTAGTAATTTTTTTAGTTTAGTAATTTTTGACATAAGGGCCCATACACCATTAAAATATCTTTAGCTCAACTTTTGTAGAAGACCCTACTATGAGAAAATTTTTCACCTAAGAGTTGAAAATATTCACTTTGCTCACTAGAGAACTGAACTTTGCTTATATAGTTCATATTAAGATTCGTAAGAGTTTCTAAGAATTTACCAAATTTGCTCTTCATAACACATATATTCTGACTGTGCAATTAAAACTAATAATAAAAGATAGAGCAAGTGTTTTCATTTAAAATCCAGACCACCCGCTTCATATACATTGATCTTTCTGTTATCAGGAGGATGGCTTAACAAAATTTCTCTGCTATTATAAGTCTACTAGGTAATTTGGTAGTTTATTCATCACTGACATTTTGCATAACAGTTTTACTACACTCTCTATTATGATAACCATGGGCCACTACTTAAATTGAAAATAAATAAAATTAAGTAAAATTAAGTTCACTTTCCCTGGGGACAGAAGCCACACTTCAACTTCTCAGGAGTCACAGGTGGCAAGTAGTTACCATATGGAACAGTGCCGATGCAAAGTGTTTCCATCATCACAGAAAGTTCTGTTAGATAATGGTGCAAGTAGATGGAACTTGATGCTGGGAATGGAGGATCCCAATGACAAGGAGCTTGTTCGTTAGTAGTCTCATTCCACACACTTGAAACAATTACATTGTACAAAAAACAGAAAAATAGAAACTACATGCATAATTGATAAACGGTCACAGAAAAAGATAAAATCGAAGGGCAGACAGAATGTCTATTTGGTGGCAGTGATCTTGGAAGAAGGATGCACAAAGATTTGCACCTAATGCCATGGGAGAAACAGAGAGATTCTAAATGGAAAGAGCAGATGCAGAAGATACTGTGGAGACCAATATGGAAATCGAATTGCCCATAGTACAGTTGTGTTGGAGAGTCAAGTGGAATGAGAATGGAAAGAGAGTGCAGATTATGGGAAGAGTTGATAGACTACTTTGATTAGAGCTGATGAATCTGGATTTTGTACAAGATGCAGGAGGGAGCCACTGTAGGTCCATGAGTCCAAAACGAGATGTGACAACTCTTGGATTTCATAATTGACAAAGGCATGATCTTATAAATTTTTGCTCCTCTTCACATAATCTACCAGTTACCAGTCTGGTAATTGGCACATAGTAGGAACTTAATATTTGTCTGCTGACTTGAATTTCACGAGTTTTGCATTCGGAGGAGGCAGTAAGGAGTTGTGGAAAGAGAATACGGATAATCAGACAATCCTGGTTTTAAATCTTTGTTGACCATGAGGCAAATAAGTTATTTACCCTCTCAGCCACAGTTCCCATGAAAATAGAATTAGTGATCATTCCCTGTGGAATTTTAAGAGAAGTTTTTAAGTTAATGTATTCACTGTGTCTTTTGCAAATCTTATATAATAGTAAAATACAGAAAAAATGTCATTTTGCTGAACTTACTACCTTAAAAGCACTGTAGAAGGCATTGAGTCTGGAAAATAATTGTGAGCTAACATATCTTTAGTGATTGCAATTCAAGAATAAATGTCTCACAGCTGGATGACTGAAGCAGAAATGATTTTCAGACCAATGGGAGTTGATATAACTAGCTATTTTGTATTTATGGGTGCATTTAATTGTGAGTCATTAAAAGGAAGAATGGCCTCTATTATAGCCTGAAGTGGGACTGAGCCTTCAATGTCCCCAGTGAGACTGTGGAATTAAACACCATGAAATGGGAAGCAATTGAAGTTAAACCAGGTTTTGTGCCCCCAGAAACTCTTTGTTTTATATAAAAAAAATATTGATCTGAGAAACGGGTCGCCAATTTTCTTAACCATATCCTATTTTTTTAAAGATCTTATTTATTTATTTGAAAGAGAGTGCACATTGGGTAGAGGGGCAGAAGGAGAAGAGAATCTTAAACAGACTCCTCGCTGAGTGTGGAGCCCAATGCAGGGCTTGATCCCAGGACCCTGAGATCACAACCTGAGCCAAAACCATGAGTCGGACATTTAACAGACTGTGCCACCCAGGTGCCCCTTATGTATTTCCTATTGATTATATTTAAGATCAACAGATTTAACTGTCATTTTAAAAAAGTGATATTTAATACTTACAATAATATAGAAAATGAAGCTGCAATTATAAAAACATTAAATTAGGGCAGCAGCGATGGCTTTTAATTATAGATTATCTCACAAGCATTTAAAATTATCTTCCTAGCCGTTAAAATTGATTATACTTATTTCCTGTTTTTAGTCTCATTATTCTCTGCTTCCCATAAATAGTACTTCCTCCACGAATCCCTCTTATTTATTGCCACACTATGGCCCTAATAATTAAATTCAAATGATAAAATAGTTTGAAGAGTGAAATATTGAACCCTCTCACTTAATTTAAAAGCACACCTATTTTGTATTAGTGAAAGTAGAATTTTGGGCCGATTTTTAGTTCCTTAGTTGTTCATTCATTTTACATTGGTGCCAAATGAGAATTCCAACTCAGAAAATGAATGCTTATATTCACGGATTTTGTAAGTGATTCATGAGAATATTCCAGAGAGAATGAGGCTGAGTCCTGTCACTCTTCCCAACTAGCACAGTGGTCAGTGCATAACCTACATGTTTCTGGTTTCTCATGGGCAGATATAAAGGGTTAAAATGATGGGTCGTGAGCAGTGTAGACACTGTGTTTCATCTAAACCACAGTTTGCATTTTGCCTAGAGAAATGCCCAGGTAGACTAATTCTAAAATGAGCAGTCCTCTAATTATATCATAGGGAGATACTGACTGCCATCAATAGTTATTATAATGATATCAGAAAGAAAGGAAAAGGAACTAACATTGACTGGACATTTTAGCTAGATGGTCTCTTTTGTATAACCATCCTACTTTCCACTTATGAGGTAAATATTTTTATCTTTACTTGGCATGTAACAAAGCTGGATCTTAAAGAATTGAGTCAACCTGCCAAAGGTTACATAGCTATCAAATGGCAGAGCAGGAATTCAACCCAAAATCTGATTCCAAGGTTTCTGTTCCTTCCAGAGATCACGATATTCCTTTTATGGATGACTACAGCATTCATTACTTGATGGAGGCAATATGCAGAATACATTTTTCCAAGGTTTTAGAAGCAGAATTTCTAAAGAGTTTAACTGAGTATATTGATGGGTAGAAGCTCTAAATAGAGCTTTAATACTTATGATGTAAGTTTTCATATCTGAATTATTCAGTGTGTGTATGTTTATGTGTGAGAGACAGAAAGTGAAAGTGTATGTGCATATTAAGGCTGGGAGAATTTCGGGTCAGAAAATCACATTGACCTATTAGTTCCTGTTGTGTCTAAAACACCATAATTAACAACTTTCTTAGCTAAATTATAGGGTTGGACACTTTTTTCTCTAACTTTGAATAGGATGACACAGTTTGCTATAACTTATCCAGTAGTAAAAAGTGTCATAATAATATTAATACATAATACACATAAAATAATGCAATATATAATAAAAATAAATTGACGTTATTGATATTAGGATGTGTGTTAATACCTATTATGTTTCAGGAACTAGGTTAGGTGCTTTACATATATGGTATCTGTGCCTCTTCACTGTCATCCTACATGGTGGTATTATTAGCCACATATTAATGACAAGAAAACCAAGGTAGTGAGTGAGTGATCTAGGTCATGGTAGAGCAGGGTTTCAAACCTATGTCTGATTGCCTTGAAAGCCTACACACTTTCTACTCTTCCAAACATTGTTGTCTGGGAAGCCATTTGCAAGAACAGTATTTCCACGTAGTTGGTAGAATAGAGACATAGTGGCATATTTTTTTGTAGATAGACTGGAGAAAAACTGAGTCAATCCAGAGTATGGGAAGCTATTTCTGGGTGTGGTCAGGGGACTACAACTTCCAAAGCAAATAGATCTCATAGCATCGTTCCTTCTTCTACTCTTAATATTAGAACACAGGGTCAGGAGCCCTTAGACACAAGTGTTCCCTTACAAAGGCCATTGGAAGATTTCAAATTCAGAGAGACACTTGGAGGTGGCTTGGCAGCGTTTGGTGAAGCAATTTTCTCTTCAGCCAATGGACTGAGCTACCACACACCACCGTCGCCTTGGCACAGGGCTACAAGTTAACTGTCAAAGGACAGAGAGGGACAGACAGAGGGGGTACTAGCATCAGCTCTCCTCTGCAGTGTCTCCTTCCAGGCTGAGGGTATCCTGTGTGACAGTAACAAACTGAAGGACAATAGCTTCATCACAGTCACCTTCAGTAACTAGTCCTCAGACCATTTTGCAGGTGGCAGGCTGCACTAGTCACCTGAGAGTTTAGGGCTGCCCAGAGTGCTCCAGAAATGTCACACAGATAAGACCATCCTGAAATGGCAGGACATCAACTAAAACTAAAGCCAGTGACCCAGTCTTCCCCACATCAAATCTGAGGAGTTTCAGCTAAATCAATATTTCTATAATACATTTTTGTTGTTTCAAAGAACCAACATATTCATCTGTGTGAAAATTAATACTCCCCTACCACTACTTTTTTCATCTGAAGAAAACTTGTTAAAATAACTTCCCTAAAGCTATCAAGCTGGCTGTGAAACCTAGTTTTCACAACATAGGCAATAAATCATAATTCATTTTGCCTTTCCTCTTACTGTCTATTATAAAGTTTCTCATTACTTCCTGTAGTTGAAATGTATTTTCCGGATCTCAGACAACAATGAAAGTCTTCCACTAGACTATTTATGTAATGGCCAAACTAATGGATGAATAAAGAGCCCACTGACACATTGTTGCTGAAGGATGAATTAATCAGAAACAATTTCTCCAATGAAACCTGCTAGAGTAGATCGAAGTTCTGTTTATGATTGGTAAGTTAAGGACTACGTGATCTTTACTAATGCCAAATTTCTAGGAGTCATGTCAGGCTGGGCCAGATTTCCCATCTTCCAAAGAAGTTGGAATGGCTTGTTATATCCGGGAACAGGTCCTCCTCACAAGCCTGAGGGAAAAGTCACACTGTGGATTTGAATTTCTGTATTTACGTCATCCTTCATCTCTTCAATGTCACCTTCAGAAGAGAGGTTCTAAAGCTGAAATCAGAGACTTTTATTTGGCTCCCTTTATACTGATAGCAGAAAAAAAAAAAGATGTACTTAAGCAGAAATATATTTTTAAATGATGAAATTTTGGTTACTTCCCAGCATAATATGGTATACATCTTCTCATTGAATTTCATAATTAAAGTAGATATTTGATTATACTGAAGTAAGCATTACTTTTCCATTCCATCTTGTTCTGAAGAAACTTAATCACTTCAGTTTCCATTTCAGAGAATCATTTAAATATTTCATTTTTCAGCTAATTTTTTTTTTCAAATCCACAGAACTCAGGAAAGAGGACATGCCACATTTAAAATGAAAACCATCTCACTATCAGATTCAAGACCAAGGCCTTAGAGAGGAAACAGCAAGCAGCTCCAACCAGGAAGATGCTGAAGTGATTTTTTCAAGGATAACAGCATTTGCTGCTGTCAGGAGGCAAGGAGCTCAAGAAACAGCTGTGACAGTGAAGTCTTATTAAAGCAAAGGAACTTTAAAAGAATTTCTGTGTGTGTGTGTGTGTGTGTGTGCGCACGCACACATGCTAGAAACAATTACAAGGAAGGTTACATATACTACTTCCTAAAAGCTTATAATATCTTAAAGCTATGTCTTTGCATGCTTGATTTTCTACTGATTATCGTTACCTTTTACTTCCTCTTTCTACATGTCAAATCCGACCCCTGGAAAGAAGAGTGAGTAAGCTTCAACCTAGGACCAAGAAGTTTAGCCATGACTGCATTTGATCTCGGCCAATGGGTACATTTATACCATAAGTCTGTGATGTCCACATATATAACTTACTACAGGATAGCACAAGGTCTGATGTTGACAACACATACAGTTCAGCCTTCTACAAGGTCACAAGGAGGTCATGCTACTGCCTCAATTAAAGTTTTTGAGATTTCTGCCTCCCCCAAATAGGACTTAACTCCAAAGCAGGTTATGTTACTTTGTAATTTTGTGGTAGAATGCAGATTTCTGTTGAATTGGTAGTGAGAGTCCAAGAAAATTCTTTATTAAATAAAAGCCTTTATTAGAAGTTGAGCTCCCAGCCATTAGCCATTACCAACTGCCAGCTATGTGAGTGAATCACCATGGGTATCTTGTTCAATGATGTCCTCAGCTATGGTTGCTAGCTGATTTTAAGCCCATCAATCATCTCAACTGAGAACCTGCTAGTTGGGACGCTCCTAACTAAAGACCTTGGAGAGCTACTGATAAGTTGTTGTTTTAAGCCAGTAAATTTTGGAGCAGTTTGTTTTGGAGCAACAGATAATCAAAACATGGGTTAGGAGTGGGATCTGAGCCCAAGGCATTGATGGATGTGCAACATTTTGGAGGCAAAGAAAGATGAAGAAGAGGAGCAAACAATTTCTTCAATCATCATATGAGACACTATTGGATGAACCATAGCGAATAGATTGTATGTGTAGTGAACAACACACTACAGTTTCTTGGGGAAAAATAAAATTAATATGAAAAATTTCTATATATAACAAAGTTGAAGAATCATGTAACTGTTCTAAGTTTTCAGGATCTTCGGGACAACACTGTGGCTCTAGGGACTTTGCATGGGACCAGATTAGGAATAATCTCTGGTGTGGACAGATGAGATATTGAGGATCTCTGGGCCCCAAAGAGCATTAGTTACATAGATCTGAGTGTCAATGACTCAATAGAATGGGTATGTGACTTCTGAAGTCAAAATAGATAGGCAATGTATATTATGGGATTTGATGGAACATTCTACTTAAATGCAATTTATGGCATTGCTTCAGCAGAGGCTGACACATCAGGAATCAAGAAGGTACCAAGATTTGGGCATCTCCTATGGTCTGTATCCCTTTGAACCCACCTCAGTGTGGAATTTTTAGGAGAAAGAGTTGCTTCTTCCTTTTCACTTTCTGGGAGTCACTGTAAACTCTGAGACATTATAGAAATTCCAGGCAGAGTCAGAATTCTTAACATCTACTCGTTGTTGTCCTGGATTATATTGCTGAATCATTTATTTATTTATTGATTGATTGATTCATTTAGATGCAAAGAAGAGGAAGGAGAATTTGGAAAAATTCACATAAATCATTTCCAAAGTCCCTATTAGGATTTGATTGTGATTATTAGTGCAAGTAAAAGAGAAAAATCCACAGAAGTCAGCTTGGGAGAACATGAGGGAAGAGCACTGTAATTAACTTTTATCCCAAGACTGTGTAGGTCACTTTTTGTTTTTTTTGTTTTGTTTTGTTTTTTGGTTGATTCCTATAGGGAAAAAATTATAAACAAAAATGTCCGGGAGTCCAAATTTCGGAAAATTTGCAATATATTTACATTTGCCTCTGGGTATCTTTTTTCATGGAGTTAAAATATTTTTTGGAAAATGTATATTATGAGTAATTCATTAACCCTCAAAAATCCAAAAGATCATCACTTATAATATTCCTGTGGGTATTGAAGGGACAATGGCAATGTGAGACAATGGCAATGTAGGAGAAAGGAATTTGATGTTCCAAATTAACAAACTTCAGTTATAAAAACTTTCTTACCATGATACCTGTATGAAGCATTATGTAATGCACAGTTTGAGTGACATCAGCTGCATGAATCAAATTGTGATAAGGATTTTTGTATTTGCTGTAACCAACTTCTAAACCTTCTGCAAAGGAAATTAGGCAAGAAACAGGAATCTGCAAAAAGTAATAATCATGATTATATTTTGGCCAAAAGAGTAGCACTAAATCAACATGAACACAACAATGTTTGGGATGGGACACAACTGTGAGTCAGATGTGGGCAGTAGTTTTTTGAGGTTACACGTAGGCTGTTCTGAAAAACTATTTCATTAACCTGCTAGCTTTCAATCCTAAGAAAGATTGTAACCCCCAGGTATTTAACTAAGGTAGATGAAATAACAATCTTACCCATACTGTTGCCTTTAAATGTTTATATCTTCCAGAGTCAAGACAGAAGGCTAGTTCTTAAAAGAGTAAAATTCTCAATTACAATTGGAGATGTCTAGTTTTTCTATCTGTAATACAAGGGATTAAAACAAATGACCTCCCAGTACCTTCTATCTAAAATTCCATGATTCCATTGGTAATGATGAAGGGTATAGGTTGCAGAGTGCTCAGAAATCTGGATCAAATCTGCTGCTTCAATGGCTCTAAAATGAAATTAATTAGAAGCCCTTTCATCTCGGTTTAAGAAAAGCTGCCAGGAAAGGTTCATTCTGTGTTTTAGGAACACAGAAGACGATATTTTTTAAAAACATAGCTCCTAATCACGACATGATTGGTCTGTGGATAATTCAGGGGGATGCTGGTATCTTGTTGGAATGAGGCTACAATGGCCTCACAATGTCCGTATGGATATATGTCAGTGAGTTGTGGATAATGGCTGCACCATGTGGTGAACTTGTTCCACTAGTTCTGTGACCTGCCAACTAGAAATGTTATAAAATGCGTTGATTAATGACTCAATGTTCTGCATTTTCATTCTTATTCAGATAACGAATTCTAAGAGCATTTCATTTTTGTTCCATGTTTCTGACCTTGAAACGATTGATAAGATCATATCTGGTAAACAGTTCATAAATCATAAACTTCAGACTGTGTTCTCCACTTGCTTCATTTAAGGCAAATACATCAAAAGACCATTTATCAACATCCTGTAAAAAATGAAAAAAGGAGTAAATGCTTTAGATGGCAATATCATTTAGTTGTTTCTTTCCGTGAAAAATTCTTGGAGAGATCAGGCATTGTAGATTTAGTAGGTCACACTTCTATTTAGAACATCAGACTATATTTTTTTCCAGGGTCTGGTATGACAGAGCCACTTAGTATCCATGGGTTCACAAAAATGAGGCCATAATGGGTAATATAAGTGTTAAAATCTTCCCCTTAATCCCAAAGTTATCAAGCTTGATGTAATAAACCTGATAACACTATAATAACGATCTTATTCTCAGTCTCTCTTCAAATGCATGCTATAAATCACTTGTCCAGAGGAGGATTCATTTTAAGGTAGTATTACAGGTTATGTGGGTGGTGTCAATGGAGGAATAGGGGAAAATAGCCCCAATTTCTCTTTCCCACCCACTACATTCTACCTGGCTTGAAATTCCACCGTAAGAGTCAATGCTTTGATTTAAAGCTTTGATATTTTATGTCTTCTTTTAAGTTTCAAATAACCTAGAAAGATAGAGGATATACTACCTTATTACTCACTCTAACCTTGGCTGATTCATTTACACTTTCCTCCAGGGACAGATGGGAAGGAAAAGGAAGTGAGTCTTTCGATAGAGGAGAAGGAAGAGGAAAGTAATTATAGCATTTCAGGCGATTCCCAAGGGAAGTGGTCAGGCCTATAGGGAGATACATACATACCCATGGAAAAAATCCACTAACAGTGGGACAGAAGGCAACGAGAGCTATGCCAAACCATTCCAGCTACCTCATGATTTTTGCTTTAAGTAACTGCAGGTTGAAAACTTGCAGAAGTGTTCACAAAAAGGGACTTGTAACAAGTGATATCAGTCCTATACACTAAGGAGGTTTTCATGTAGAGTGGGAGCTCCAATGCTAAATATATCAATGAAATTTTAAAAATTTAAAGAAATACAACAGTCAGTTCTAACGATTATTAGAACTTCTTAGCAAAGTGTGTGCTTACATACACACAGCAAGTTTAGTATTGAATAGGGCAACCTTAAAACTGTGCCTTAATTTTGAATTTGAGCTGGGATTATTTACTTCATTTAATACATTTTTAGAGAGGCCAACAATCTGTACTATAACATGCTGAAACCAAACTGAGAATCTGATAAATAGTATTCAAACAGTCTCTTTTAAAAATACTGCTTTTATGGGGCGCCTGGGTGGCTCGGTGGGTTAAAGCCTCTGCCTTCAGCTCGGGTCATGATCCCGGGGTCCCGGGATCGAGCCCCATGTCGGGCTCTCTGCTCAGTGGGAAGCCTGCCTCCTCCTCCTCTCTCTCTTTCTCTCTTTGCCTGCTTGTGATCTTTGTCTGTCAAATAAATAAATAAAATCTTTAAAAAAAAATACTGCTTTTGTGTAAGCCTGATGACTCACACCTGTACCCCCTGGGGCAAATAATACATTATATGTTAATAAAAATAATTAATAAAAAATAAATAAAAATACTGCATTTGAAAATAGTAATAACAGCTTCAAATGGTATTTTTAATCACTTGAAAACACTAGTGAGATGGTTTTTGATTTGCTTGTACGCCTTTGTTAAATTCCTTGTATTTGGTTGTGATTTGATCCCCAAACACTTGCTTTACAAACACTTTGTTTGTAAATTTAAAATCTCTGAAGGCTGTGTAAGCAGGCATTTTAACATCAATAAAGCTCAAATGAGGCCAACAAATCTTTTATCAAATTCCAAAGCTAACACAAGAATTAGTTCAGATTGTTAGGAGGCTGCTATTTATAGTTCCTGCTCAGGGTTTCACACTGAGTAAAAGGTTAGTTCTCCACTTTGGGGGATTTTTGTCAACAATGATGATTTACACTTATAAACTACTGTAGATGCTCCATTGAGGATAAATACGACAAGAAGGTATCTCAGGAAGTAAGAGCTATTTAACTAAAAATATTCTTTACTAGTGATATTTCCTCCCTCAACCTTTTAGTTGATACATTTTTCTCTACTACATTTTAGAAGAGTGTTAACTTTCTCTCATACTAAAATATTGTGTTGGTTTCTAAGTAAAGGTTACTGAAATAAAAGAAATAAAAATAAGTAATATTCTTGCTCACAGTTGATGAAACAAAAACCTCACAAGATCCAAGGAGTAATTAATATCCTATAATGTGACATTTCACTTATATACCTGTCTTTTTTATAGCTTTAGAAACATAAATATAAGAAAGTGTCCAAGAAAAACCATCTCTTTAAATTAATAAGATTAAAGTCTACTATGCAGCAAAGGAAAAAAATGCAAAGGGGATGTATAAGAGAAAATTAACAAAAGATATAATATAAATAGCAATATAAATGTAAACTAGAAAGGAGTTTAAAATATCAGAAATAAAGCAACTCAGGATATTCTGTTGCCCATGGCTTTTAAATTCTTGGTGATACAGGAAAACCACCATGAAATTGTTAGAGGAGACAAAGTTGAATTTCTCCACTGAAATGAAATGATAGAAAGAAATAAGAGATGTTAAATGATGAGCTTAGAATAGGAACAGAAATAGGAACAGTGCTTTTGTATACACACACAGTAGAAACAAGTAAACCAAAAACTTTCATTACTTCAGAATTTTGGCTCCAATTATTTCTAAAGTATTTAATATTGCATTTGGGCGTCAGCTATAGGAAAAGCAGAGATAAGAGAGTTGAATTTTTTTTGTTATTTTCTTTCTTAATTTTATCTTTTTATGTGTTCTCAGACCTAAAATTCTAAACAAATTTCTTTCATGTAAGTTCTGTCCTGGAACACCTTTTTTGAATGCATGAAAATTTCCCACAATATATACATAAAAAAATACATATATTCTGATAAGTCCTGGTGCCATCTCAAAATTGAATTCAAGATCCATCTAAAAAAAGCATGAAGAAGGAAAAAAAATCACATATATGTGTGCACACACATGCACTGACTTAATGTAAATCAATCCTCATTTAAGTCTATGATGAGCCATGATTTGGAACATATGACATGTGAATGGCTACGGTATTTTTCATGTATCAATTCATAAGATGTAGCAAAGACCTATTCTCATTTTCTCCCAGTCATTGTAAGAAAATTTGAAAAAATGACTATTTGAAAATTTAAAATAATTGAAATTATTTTACCTTTAATGTTACTATGACAGCTTCTGGATATACCAAACCAACCATGTGATAAGACTTTCTGTACATCCTGAAAAAGAAAAACAAGTGTGTATGTAAGACTCATTTACTCAAAGATTTCAACTATTTTTTTAAAATGTAAGGGAAAAGATTACTTTTGACATGTTCACCTTTTATCATTAGTTACAGGCTCTCTTTGTGGTAATAATTATTACTATGATCATCACTTATTGAGAATCTACAATGTGACATGGGTTAATACAAATTTGTCTACACACAAACACCCTACTAAGTCAATATGACTGACATCTTTTTCTTTGCTTCATCTTATTAAAAGAGACTGTCCTTTGTATGTGCAACAAACTTTCTGGCACGCCCATACCGATGAGAGAAGAATATTTTTGTTTTGCATCCATTTATGTGCCAAAATTTTAGATCATTGATGTTACTGTTCTCACTACTCTGCAGCCCATGCTGTTGCCTACAATTCTTAGGTTCTTCGGGGCTCCCAGGGCTCTGTCAGAACTCTGGTGCTGATCTCTTAGAACTGGAATAGGCTTAAGGAGTGAATGTCAGGGTGCATTCTCATTACATGGAATATAAAGCAAGACCTTGAAGATTATCTTTCTGAGGAAATGGAGGAACTTCCCCATTATCTTTTCTAATCCTATAATTGGAAATAAAGTATTAGGACAAAAAAATAAGGAGGACTGGAATCAGAATCTGTTTGTGGCAGACCGTAATACGGCTGCCTCACCCTTGAGTAAATAGCTGACATATTACAAGTTGCTGAAAAAGAACAATGAATTTCCTGGACTCCTGCAGGTGTTGAAAGTCCAGCTGGAAATACGGTAGATTATTTTTGGAAGCTTTTACTACAGTTGCGATGTGTAATTCAAGAACTCAAAAAAACTCCACGAAAACTAAAAACTATCTTATGTCAGATGTCGTGTTAGGTAAGAGCCCAGAGAGAACAAGAAAAAGGTACTGCTTTTGTGGGCTTACTGAGCAGTGAAGAGGGGCAATAAATAAAAAACCCATAATTACAAGCAGCACTCAGTGCTGTGAGGTAAACCACTGGTCAGGGCAGGCAAAGTGTTGAACGGTGTGCATAGCGATCAGGGAAGGCGTCTGGAGAGACAGGAAGGGCCAGCCAGGAGCAGGGGCAGGGAAGATCATTTTTGGTAGAGGGAATAACAGGATTATGGTTCCAAGGGAAGAAAGGGTTAGGGATGTGCGTTGAAATCAGAGCAATATAGAAATTCAGTCAAAAATGAAGGTAGCGGGACGCCTGGGTGGCTCAGTTGGTTAAGCGGCTGCCTTCGGCTCAGGTCATGATCCCAGCGTCCTGGGATCGAGTCCCACATCGGGCTCCTTGCTCAGCGGGGAGCCTGCTTCTCCCTCTGCCTCTGCCTACAACTCTGTCTGCCTGTGCTCATGCTCTCTCTCTCTCTCTTTCTAGCAAATAAATAAATAAAATCTTTAAAAAAAAAAATGAAGGTAGCACTTGATGAGACAAGAAAGTAAAAAAGTGCTGAACCCTGCAAAACCATGATATAGAAATCACCCTTAATACCAAGAGAAATGGAAAACCATCAAGAGATTTTAAGCTTAGGAGCGACAAGGACTAATTTATATTTTAAAAAGTCCCTGTAGAATGACTTGTTTGGAGAGGGCAGTTGAGGAAGTGAGGACCCAACTGGAAAGCTACTGTCCTGTTTCTGATGGCAGATGACAGTGCTGGGGCCTGGGTTTCAGGAGGGGAGACGGGGAAGTGAGCAGATGGGAAAGTGCACCTGGGTAATGGAAGTGCGAGGACTTGTGGAGGCATGGAGTCTTGGGAGGGGATACTTGAGAGAATACTCAGGAAGGCTTTCTAATTTTCAAAATGGAAGACAATTATCTTTGAAAATTCAAGATAAACATAGGATCCTATTTTATGCCTCAACTAATGGGGATTTCATTTCCATATGTTTGTAACATGCTGATTTCTTCAAGACTGTTTGCCAGTTAAGTATATTTGATATTTCTATAGGTCATTAAGTAAAATATTTTATGTAGCATATGGAAAAAATGAACATTTAGCATACCAATAAATTTTTACGGAAATCTTAATCTTTTACTGGATGGAAATAGAAATTTACTCCCACAGTTTGCTTTCTTTTTAGTTTGCCAAGTTCTACAAAATTTTCTTGAAAAAGACAAAATATACATTCTTTCAGCAAATCACACATATTCTCTTTTATCTGTGATTCACTGACTTTCTGAACTATTATTGAGATATTTTTGATTTGGTGTTAATGAAAATCAATAAATGTCATATACTTTCCTAAGTTGTTTAAAAAAAAATGGTAATATCATTATAGATAATCTTTCTCTCCAGCCCTGCTTCCCTGTTGCAGATTTCTGGTCCCACCGGGCAGAGTTGGGACCATTTTATATACTTTATAAGGGGGTGTGGTTATCACTTTACCACACTAATAAAATTGCTTCTTATGAGGATTCTTTTATCAAAGCCAATTAAATAGGGCTAATAAAATACTCAAAATAATTTAAATAATCACCGAGTGGTGGTTATTATGGATAGTAGAGGCACAAAGCAAGAACTTCAAGCTTTATGTGTTGTAGTTATATTTTTAAATGGCATCAAATACTTCTTGTTATACATTCTCATTTACATTTTGGGAACCCAAATGTGTTTCCTGTTTTTCTTTTAACAGGAAAATTAAAGTGTATAATGTTCATTAGAAATAATAACGAGAGATGTCAGAAGATGAAAAATGATGTGGTCTCTCTCATTTAAGTATATTGACAAAAAAATTCTCTCTTCAATTTTATTAGTTTAAAAATGTTTCATCTTTTTATATATAACTTAATAAAAAGTAATTGTTTTTTTAATCTAAGGGATTTCTAATAACTAGTTTTCAGAATTGTCAGATGTAACATGTTTATTTCAAGTAATTTCTTTAGCTTTAATTCTGGAACATCTTGTTTCCCAGACAGAAAAATAGACTGTATTCTTAAGGGCTAGACAAATATAAAATTAGGCCACATTAGCATGTATTTCACATGAGAAACTACGGTGATTTGATTTGATGCTTCTAGGGGCCATCAAGTATTCCTTGCTTTAGTGACAGAAATGTCAAAGAACTCTACAAAAGCTACATAAGGAGCTTTTCTCCCATGATGCAAAGAGGATGGTCTTTTTGACTTATTGCAGAGAAAGTCTTATTTGATTTTAGTATGTAGTATAGAATTTGTTTTATGAAAAGTTACATTTTATTCCAGTAAAATTAGTTGTGTAATATATGAATGTGATGTATGAATGTGGTATAATTTAATAAATAATAAGTGTGGTATAATTTATACAAACATATACAAATAAGGTATGAATGTGGTATAATTTAATAAATTACTCACAAAGCTACATTTGAGGTACACTAGGCATTCAAAAGTCTGCTTTTAGTCTTTTCTTTCTAAAAAATATTTAATTTATTTATTTGCAAGAGAGAGAGAGCACACAAGCTGGGGGAAGAGCAGAGGGACAGGGACAAGCAAACTGCCTACTGAAAAGGGAGCCCGACATGGGGCTCAATCCCAGGACCCCAGGATCATGACCTGAGCTGAAAGCAGACACTTAACTGATTGAACCACCCAGGCATCCCAGTCTTTATGTCAATTTAAAAGAAATGAAAGTAATAAACCCAGGACAAAACATTTTTGTTAAGGCAAATTTATAACGATGTTCTAAATTTCCTCATTCTGGGTATACTTACAATTGCAGTGTTCCTCAATAAGTAAAATGTTTGGCTTATATAACTTTGAGATGGTAAGTATATCTCCTACCTTCCAAATTTTATTATCTTGAAATACTAACAATTTCACTTACCTCTCTACAAAAATTCCAGCTTGAACAGCATGCACAATGCTTCGAAATTTTGGCTTTTCCTCAGATTTCTTTTTCATCATCCCCATTTTCCGTGTGAAGGTGGACGCCAGCCAGTCCCGTACTTCCGATGGGACCGAGTCTGTCTGAATGTCACTGAGTTCATCTTCAGTATCCAGCAGTCTTCTACAAAAATTTATACCAATTAAACTTTAGGAAAAAGTGAAGAAAAACCTGATAATAAACAAACATTGCAATGGGATTGAAAATATAGCAAATCACTCTCTGGTCATCCCTTAGTATGAGCTACTTAAAAAAAAAAAATAATTGGATTAACATTTGAAAAACTCTGAATTTCTCAAATTGATCATCTTCTGAAGGCCAGCACTAATGGAGTTGAGCATTTGCAGCTTTCCAAATGAGATACTGTCATACTTGTCTGGAGATACAAATTCATATACTATTCTAGTCATGAAGAGAACTAAAATAGAGAAGAAAGTTCATAAACAGATGTCTGTTATTAAAGGAGGCAACTGGACTGGAAAGAAAACAAGGAGTAGAAGTTATCAAAGTCGTCTTATATTTGCTAGTCATGCATATATACAATGCAGCTAGCACAGGCTGCTTGCATAAGGCCTTGGAGTCTACAGGTGATTCACACGTATTATTTCATTTGAATGCTATTTCTAAATTGTAGGAAAATAGGACATCAAGTACTCTAACATTCATTATGAGATCAACATCACAGATTAAAAAGTGAAGAAAAAAAGATAAACAGATTGTTTTGAAAACTCATGTTAGATGACAGGGCCAGTGGAAGTGGAAGAGAAACACTCCAAGTTAAGGGCAGATGCTATCTTGAGGGTGGACATCAGCTGGCCAAGGAAATCAAATACATCAGTGGGGAAGTGAACAGGAAGTGAAACGACTGCACCATCCTATCTTCTAGAAGCTCCAGATAGACCACACTGCCCGGACCGGTGGGTGTAGTACCTATCGTTGAGGCTGGTCAGCTCCAGTGATCCAGAACTTCCTAAAGGTCTGAACTGGGAAGACCATGTGAAAGCCTCCCCACAAACGATAAAAACATTCCACAGAGCAATTGAGCTTTGCCTCCAGGAAGAACACAGGCCACCTCTGTCTGTCACCTGACTTTGTTAATTCCCTATCTGTGCACCAGTTTAATAACTCAGAGCTAATTTTAGCGCACTTTGGTTTTGGCTTTGGGGTTCCATTCGCCCCAAGTAAATCTCTTTGTACAGGGTGAATCCCCAGGATCATAAGCTGATGGAAGGAAGACAGAATGATACTGCGTGCTAAAGCCTCCAAAACAAGTCACACCATCTTGAGTGGGCAGGGACCAATAAAAGGGCAAAAAAGGTAGAAAGCCCATCCACAGCACCCAATACTACCAAGAACAGTCTCAAAAGGTTATATGATGACCTCTATGTGCTGCTCTTTTCTAGAAACATTTAGAGCACAGACAATTGCCAATATTTACAAATGCGGTTTTGAAATGCCTTATGACACAATATATCAACTTCAGTGCTGGAGTTACAAAACTACAGGTATACATATGAAGATACAAGAGCCTTGCATAATTGGAAGTTAATACTGATTAATACTTTGTATCTTTTTTAACTTTCTTTTGGAACTTACGTTTGGGTGGTTTTGATTTACGCTTAATACACTGACATTGGAACGCAAAGCAAAATAATTTTTTTAGCATTTTGTCCATATTAAATTGGATCATTTAGCCCATTGCATCAAGACACTACACTACATGGTCTGAAAATTCAGGGCTTATGCCCTTTCTATTACTTCTTATCTAGTGATCAAATAAAAACGCAGAACAGGACAGGTGGAATGGGAACCATTGTGCTATAATCCTGGGATGTCATGGAGCTCCAAGAATTCTCCTGCTGCCTTGTTTTATCAGCTACTTCAAGTAGAATGACAGACACACATTGTGTTGGTGGTCAATTAATGTTGATATCTTTAAGGCTGTATGTTCTAAACTCATAAGTCATCTAAGACATATCATCAACAAAATCAGCATATGGAAATGATCTGTCAAATACAGATATGAGACTTAGGAGTCTGATAATATGGTAGTTCTTAATCGTGATGCATGATGTCATTCATTAAGAAGGAATGAAGATATAATCTTGGAGAAAGAGTAATGTGAATTCATTTGTGGTGATAAGAGTATAGGAGGAGTATGTAAAGAGTAAAGCACGAGATAAGCTATTCTATAACTAAAAGCAAATTTTGAAAAAGCAACCAATACCTCTTCAATGGTTAATTTTATATTGTAATCATGGCTAGGGTATGGTGCCAGTTATTTTGTTAAACATCAGTCCAAGTGTTGCTGTCAAGGTGTTTTTTAGATGCGATTGTCATGTAAATCAGTAGACTTTGAGTAAAGCACATTACCTTCCATAAGGTGAGTGGGCCTCATCCAATTAATTAAAGGCCTTAAGAGATAAAACAGAGATTCCCTTAAGAGGAAGGAATTCTGCCTTCAGACTGCTTTCAGACTAAAGATTGTTAATATTTACTCCTGCCAGAATTTCCAGCCAGGGGCAGCCTGTTCTGAAGATTTCCATCTTCCTAGCCCCCATAATCACATGAATGAATTCCTTGAAATTAATTTCAATCTCTCTCTCTCTCTCCCTCTCTCATCCTCTCTTTCTAATAATATAAAGGCTAAGGATATATAGATATAGATATATAGAAATAGATATATATATATATAGATATATAAATATAGATATATAGAGATATATGCTATATATGTAATATATATAATGAGGAAGAATATTTTTATCATTCATGAACACTATGTGGTAACTATCAGCTTGGATTATAAATCTGATAGATGACAAAGGCACAACTCTGCATTATATTAATAATTCACTTAATAGAGCACATCACTTATCCTTCTGGTTGTGAAATATAAAAATCATTTGCAGGGCACTAAAATGCCTTTTTAGCTATTACAGATATAATACCAAACTGTCTTTTCATGTATTAATAGCTCTTTTTTTAATTGCTGAATCATAATTTATTGTGTGGATATCCAGTTTGCTTATATACTCAGCCATGGTCATCTTACTTGCTTCCAAGTTCTGACAATTACAAAAAAGCTGTTACAAATAGTTGTATGCAGACTTTTCCAGACTTTCATTTGTGTAAATGCCAAGGACCACAATGGTTGGATTGCATAGTAAGAGTATGTTTTGTTTTTTAAAGAAATTTCCAAACTATCTCCCAAGGTGGCTGTACCATTTTGCATTCCTACCACCAATGAATGAGAGAGAGGCCAAGCCACCATCATCTCTCTCCTGGCCTACTGCAGTAGCCTCCTTCCGGTCTCCCAGTTCTTGTCCTGAACCCCTTCAGTCTCTTCCTTCTGCAGCCAAATTGCCTCTTTTAAAGTATGAGTCAGACCTTATCAATGCCTAATTCATTAAGTCCTATGTAGCTCATCACAAGCCCTGTCTCTACCTTCATCTCTTAACTGGTTTCCCCTTACATATTTTGTTCCAGCAGTACTGACCTCCTTGCTGTGCTCAACTCTCCCAGGCTTGCTTCTGCTCCAGGGTCTCTGCACTTGCTGTGTTGGCTTTGCTTAGACTCTCTTACCCTATTGGGGGTGGGGGGGATTATTTTCTCACTGTATTCAGGGAAAGAAGGCTTCCCTGATCCCTCACACCAACTAAACTAGCGAACACCTCTATTCTGTCTTTTTGTCCTACTATCGACTTATTAGCACTTACCATTACTTGATACCATGTTGTATGTTTACTGGTTTGTTTATTCATTCTATGTTTCATCCACTAAACCGTAAAGACTTTGGGAGCGGAGAGTTGGTCTCTTTTTGAGTATTGTTGTATCACCGGCACCCACAACATTGCATGGCACAGAGCAGGAGATGAACATGTTTCTACTGAATGTCTAGGAAACATCTAGAGGTATTTACACTAAACTTGCAAGTGATTACTTTTGAGGAGTAGAGTTAGGATGGGGATGGTAGAAGAGACTTTGGAGTCCTATATTATTTGACTGATAATCAGCAGCAGCATCCTGGGAGTGAATTCACTATTGTCCATCATCCCCTTCATTGCCTTTAGGATAATTTGCCTTTGAATAACCCCTTTACAATTCTTTGAAGTAAATTACAGGGCAACATGAACACTTGGTGTGGAAAAGACATTAAACATTTTTTATGGCATTTTGAATTATAGGCACAGTAAAAAGAAATTTTAAAAATTGTACACACCGTTTGCATGCCTTTAGCCCAGGAAGTCAGTATTTCTGTTAAATACTAACTCTTTTAGACTCATTTCTCTAGTAGAGTTAGTAAGACATTCCTAAGGAAGCTATAAATAGTTGTAGCAGATTTACTAAGATAATTATTTTCCAGTTTGGAGAAAAGAAACTTGAAAGACATGTGAGTAAAAACCTAAATATAAACAAATTTAAAAAAAACCAACACACCTAATGGCACGTATTTCTCCACACTCCTCTATGTCTCTCTCTTCTCCCTTTTATTCTCCCTTTCTCTGGTACCTGCCTTATACTCTCTGTCTTCCTGCCTCTGAGTACTATAAGGACTCTTCGGGTTTCATTGGATCGTGCTACATAGGGCAGAAGCAGAACTATAGTATAATATGGAATAATAATCCTGACTTTTGCTAGAGAATTATAAACAGTTTTCCTATACATCTATTTGAGACATGTGAAAATATCTGAATATTTACAGAAAATTATGTCACAGGGAAAACATGTAAGACTATGTTGTCCCCTCATTTCATTTTTGAAATAAATTTGTGCAAGTAGGTTTGATAAAATAGGATCTCAAATACTGTAATTAATTTTACTTTCAAAATATCCAAGAGCTCAATTACTCTTCACACTAATGTTAGATGGCAGAGTAAGCATAATTGCTTATATCATGAGTGCTCTTAAAAAATAAAAACTTTGTTTTTAAGAATCTTAGAACATGAAACATAGTCACCGGTGCATCTTCCTTAGGAATTCTTAAAATGCACTGCATAGAAAGTAAATGATAAGGAGTATATGTGTAAAATGTTATCACTGTTGACCTCTGAGAAATCCTTCCTCTGATATAACGTTTTCTCTCTCTCTTTCTTTCTTTCTTTCTTTCTTTCTTCCTAGTC